TTTTTTTTTTTTTTTTTTTTTTTTAAGGAATATACAAAGGAAGGAGAGGGAGGAGGTTATAAATTGAGGGAGGGGAGAGCGGCGGAAAATTAGGGTTCGGCCTCGCACTCCGCCATGAATGAGGCTCCGTCGTTGCAGAGCGATTGGAGGAGATCCTTCTTTTCCTCGCTATGTATCGCCGGCAGCCGGCGATTTCCCCTCCGAACCCTCTGCATCTCTCTCTCTCTTTGTGTGCGTTTGTATATTTATATGTATATATATATGTATGTATGTCTATCTCTCTTTCTTTCTCTCTCTCTCTCTCTAAACGTCCGGCCCTTCAGTGAACTGTGGTGCCGGAATTCTCCCCTAAAAAGGCTATGATGATGGTTGAACTTGGAGTGTGAGGATTTTAGGGCAATGGCCGAGGAGGTTCGATTCATCGGCATGGTGATCCGGCTGATCTGCTAGCTAGGCTTCGCCGCCATGGTAGGCCTCCTCTGCTTTGCCCCATTTCCAGATCTGAGCCGCCTCTCTTTTATTCATCCCTTTCAGGCACCGATTTTGTGGCTCTGTATTTTGATTACACTTTTTTATCCCTAGGAAGAGTTCCCCAGAAAGTTCTTCATCATGTAGGAAAATGTAGATGTTTACAGGATCATCATTAGGGTATAGAAGATGAGAAACTGGCTCAAACAGGACGCTGCCATGGCTAATCCTCGATTCAGCTGGTCGCCCAGTTTTGCCGAAAAATCTCTAGCTTGCACATCTCAACCTAAATTGGTTTGGGCCTATTCGTATCCATGGCCGCTGAGAATCAATCAAATCAATCCCTGCAAAATGATGAAATATAAATTAAAAACAAAAGCGTAAAGAAAAAATTGAAAGAAAAAATTGAAACAAACAAATCCCGATCACAAGAAAAAGGAAAAGCAGCAATACCAATTCTTACCTCTTCCAGAGAATTCAAAAGAAAAAGCAGAAAGCGACAAAGCAGGCGGCGATGAAAGAGCCTGATCACTGCTGTATGCTTGTCCACAACTCTATCGCAGTCCACGGCAGTGGAAGTGAAATGAATCCATGGAAACCGTCAAATCAAATGGCGGAGGTAACGGAATGCAGGAACTCAGGATTCAAGAGTGGTAAAACTGCTAATGGAGGAATTTCCAAACCCTAATTCTAAAATCTGGTCCGTTTAGTGAGGTTATGAACCTATTTAGTTGATGTGAATTAGATTCGATTGAGATCGATTGCTCGATTTAATCGAAATTTTTGGTCTGAGCACCGACGAACACAAATAATTTCATATCGGTGTATAAAATTTCTGTACAAAGGAGATTTAAGAGTTCTGTAGTGATGAATGCCGGTAATGGTCTCCGGAGAGAAAACGATAGCACGTAAGATCAGTCGAACTTCAGAGATTTGGCAATTGCTAACCTCAGAGTTTGTTTGCAATTTCATCATGCCGAAAAATTATTATGTTTCTTCGGCCTTGGACATAATCGACAGCCGGCTACTCTTTGCCTTGAAATCAACTCGGCGTCGTTGCTGATGAGATGAAGGCCGAATCAATGCCGCTAAAGCTCGCTTCACAAGATCGCCTCCAATTCTAACCAGAGAATTCGTCATTGCCGATCTACGAGCATTCAACCTACTTGGAGAGTACGCTGCGTGAGGTTGCGAAACAGTTCCTTTATGGAGACTACACCGAAACGAGCCAGGGTGAGTTGTAGGAGAACACATACACGTCCTCTTCAAACTGCTCTGCCTCTGCACCACTCGATTCTCCCCACCGCAGCAAGAAGAAACAGACACGGATCTGTTCGGAGAAATCGCACGGTCTAGAGAAAAGCGCATGGACGACACGGAAACCGAAGGCGAACCGTGAAGCTTCACACGCGACGGGGAAGTCGTTCTGCAGAAGAAGGAAGCGGCCGATCTGGAGGAGAAACTGGAGGTCGACGGTGAGAGCGAGCGGAGAACTGCTGCATTTGATCTTCGAGACGTTGCCGCCATTTTCGTCACGGTAGAGAGAGAAGGGGATGAATCTTGAGCTTCCAACTCGGCTCTAAGCCTAAGCCGAGTTCGGCTATTCAGATTGGCAAACCCGTTTTCACTCTCACCCTCTATTTATTGGGTTTCCTATCAAATTTATAGAGCGGCGTATTTACTATCATACCCTTCATCTTTTGCAGATTTAAAAGTTTAAACTATAATATTAATTTAAATAAGTAGGAGGACTGAACAGCAAAAATAATAAATAAATAAAAGTATATTTTCTTAAAATTTTAATTTGGCGGGAAAAGTTGCAAATGATGTTTAAGTTTAACCCGACCAACCCTATGGTGGTTGGGTTATTAGTTGAACCGGAGTTATATATCAACTTCGAATGTATGACTATGAGCTATTTCCTCGGTTCGTCCTTGAGTCTGAGGCTCCCTTGTGATAGATGGAAAAAAGAAAGAAGATTTTCGCTTCATTCAACCATCTTTATGAAATAGTTCACCGTGCTCATTGATGCTAAAAAAGTAAAAAATAATGAAATTGAAGAACCACATTCCGACCCAACCACAAATCCCTAATTTGTTGGCTTCGACCTGTCACAAACCTAGACCCATTGAATTACGCAGACCAATCAAGACCATTACTACATAAAAGTAAAGCAGGACGAAGATTGGCTCGAGACACGAGGATTGTCCTTGTCCATGTCCTCATTTTAGCTAACGTAGAAAAATCTCTCTAGGATTGTCCTTGTTCATGTCCTCATTTAGCTAACGTAGAAAAATCTCTATCCGCTCCCTCCCTCATTTCTCATTCGGGGCTGATCACTAGCCTCATGGCTTTGACCGACGCATTGAGTTCCACGAACCAATCAAGACCATTACTAGATAAAAGTAAAGCAGGATTATCCTCGTCTCTGTTCTCATTTAATTAATGGAGAAAAATCTCTCCCTACTCCCTCATTCTGGGTTTAAACGGAGATTTCTTACCCCATTCAAGACCGGTCTCTAGTCTCGTCGGTTAAATGAAACAACAGGGAGACAGAAGGCAACCATTAAATCAAACCACATGAAGTTCATCAAATAAGTGAAACTCTTTCAGTTCTCATGCAACAAAATAATGTACATTGAAAGAAAAAGTACTCAAAGAGTGTCTAGTGTCGTGCATATTGGACTGATACCTAGCTGCCCTTGTCTTGTTCTCCTGGAGCTCTGGAAATAAACTGCTTAGTATAAACCCGATGTCGTCGCTCTCTAGCGTATATAATCCAGAAGATCAGGGACAGCATGACAGCACCAGACACCAGAACCAACCCGACATATATCCATTTCAAGTATAGTCGAAGCCCGGGGCAATGATTCTTACTTATATCCGTAAACACTTGTCGAACGTACGTACAGTCTACGAGTTCGACCAAGAACGGTCCATAGTGATACAAACCATAGCTCACATTTGCTGCAGCTGTCATTTGGTTGTATAAAGTTGGAGTCAACCGGCCAGTGGTGGTGCAAATGCCTGAGGATGATACTCGACAAGTGAACGTCGTCCAAACCTGCACGCAATAATTCGAGATATATGTCGAGATTTTCGAAGAAAAATGCATTGTACGTGCTTGTTTGAGCTAGCTATATCAGATATCTCTTACCTCGGGAGCTTTGCTCAGTTCTACTTCATTCGCCGAGCAGTGTCGATCCATGAGATTGGAATGAAACGGACTGCAAAGAGGCGGCACCAACGGGCCGGATTGATTGTAATTCAGAGGAGGGGCGACATTTGCAGGGGGGTTGGCATTTGAGATTGTGTTGATCACTCCATTGACCAAACTTACAAGTTGGTAATTCACATTCTTGGTTCCGAACTGAATTTCTTTGGCTGTGGCGTTGTCGACGCAAGGAAGAATATCGTCTAACGCCGTGTGGGCAGTGGGATTCTGCAGCCAATCTTCCATTGCAACACATGTATCTCCGACCACGCTATGAGAAAAAGAAAAAGAAATCAATTCGGAGCTGATAGAGATGATATTCAATAAAACAAGAGCACTTCTTGAACAAGAGAGGCCTGTTTCAAGCATCAAACTTCTAACCGCCCAAGCCCACCGCTAGCAGATATTGTACTCAGGAAGAGGTTTTCATACCCTTATAAAGAATGTTTCGTTCTCCTCCCCAACCAATGTGGAATCTTACAATCCACCCCCCTCGGGGCACAGCGTCCTCACTAGCACACCGCCTTGTGTCCATCTCCCTTCGGTGCTCAGCCTTCTTGCTGGCACATTGCCCAGTGTTTGGCTTTGATACCATTTGTAATAGCTCAAGCTCATGGCTATCAGATATTGTCCTCTTTGGGCTTTCCCTCAAGGTTTTTAAAATGCATCTGCTAGGGAGAGGTTTCCACACCCTTATAAAGAATGTTTCGTTCTCCTCCCCAACCGATGTGGGGTCTCACAATCCACTCCCCTTCGGAGCCCAGCATCCTAGGGAGAGGTTTCCACACCCTTATAAAGAATGCTTCGTTCTCCTCTCCAACCGATGTGGGATCTCACAACCCACCTCCATTTGAGGCCTAGCGTCCTCGCTGGCACACTGCCTCGTGTCCACCCCCTTCGGGGCTCAGCCTCCTCGCTGGCACATCGCCCAGTGTCTGGCTCTGATACCATTTGTAACAGCCCAAGCCCACCGTTAACAGATATTGTCTTCTTTAGGCTTTTCCTTTCAGACTTCCCCTCAAGGTTTCTATAACGCGTTTGCTAGGGAGAGGTTTTCACATCCTTATAAAAAATGCTTCGTTCTCTTCCCCGACCGATGTGGGATCTCACAAAATTTGTTATAAAATGCTTTATAGGTGAAACGAGACCCTTACTTGTGAAGAAGAAGAAACACGCTACACAAAATGAACGTGACAGCAACAAGAATCCAACCAAATATTACCAAGCTGCAGAGAATAAGAAAGTGTTCAATCGTCTACAACATGACATCAAAAACACGTTTTGTACGAGGAAAACGAAACCGTAGATATACTTACGTGTATACGATACACTGCAATCCAAAGATGGAACATACTGGATCAGGTAGCAGAAACGATTTAAGAAAGATTCAATTATGGTCAGTTCATAATTCATTTACTAAGTAAACACACTTACAGAATCCAATAAATGCCAACAAGAGCATAACAGCAGCAATAACAACGAGGATAAGTCGCCTGCAATATACGACACGAAAACGTGTTACTCGGGGTCACAGAAAGCACTGAAATTTGATAAAAGAGGATCTACTAACGTTTCGTCTAGGCCTCTCTGTATGGTGCCTGAGTTATCAGCTGCTGCATCAGTAAGATTGGAAGAAACAGAACTTATCTCCGTGCCAATGTCATCGATTTGTTTCTTAACGTCGGTAGACAGAAATATCGAATCGACTCCGATAGACTTAGCTGAAGAAAGATATACTGACAAATTCTTGAGGTTTTTAGCAGTTCCATCTGCCTGATCTACTATATAGTCCAACGTGCTCGACGAACGGCTATGAAACTTCCCTTGACCGACATATAAC